GGAAAGAGATCAATGCCCTTGAGCAGCACATCAAGAACCTCTTAACTCCTTCAACCCCTCATTTCTTCAACACCCTTTATGATCCATACAGAGATGGAGCCGACTTTGTTCGTGGATACCCTTTTAGCATGCGTGAAGGCGCCACCACGGCCGTGTCTCATGGACTTTGGCTCAACATCCCTGACTACGATGCTCCGACTCAGCTCGTTAAGCCCCTCGAAAGAAATACCAGGCAATTGGATCTCTCACAGAGGCAAACAGTTGTTTCGTTTCCCCGATTCTTGAAGCATACCCTTGTGCAAGTTATCGACTCATTTCACGCCCTTGAACGATGCAGGTACGTTGACGCGGTCATGACAATACCGAAGGGTACCCTTTTCCCGATGTGCGGTATGAACCTGGCTTTTGACCGGGAGTTGATTGGCCCGGCTATGTATTTCGGGCTTATGGGAGATGGCCAGCCTATCGGGCGTTACGACGACATGTGGGCAGGCTGGTGTGTCAAGGTAAATGCACAGCTTTTCCTTATACATCGATCAAAGTCTGCAGCTTTCGAAACAAAGTAGAATGGTTGTCAATATTCTTGGCATTGTAGGTGATATGTGATCATATGGGATGGGGGGTGAAGACCGGTCTGCCGTATATATGGCACAGCAAGGCGAGCAACCCGTTTGTGAATCTGAAGAAAGAGTACAATGGGATATTCTGGCAGGAAGAGGCGATACCGTTCTTTCAGTCAGCGGCTCTGCCCGAGGAATGCAAGACGGTGCAGGAATGTTACATAGAGCTGGGGAAGATGGTGAAGGAGAAGCTGGGGAAGGTGGATCCGTATTTTGTGAAGCTCGCCGATGGAATGTTCACTTGGATCGAAGCTTGGGATGAACTCAACTCTGAGGAGAATCCAAATGGCACAGCTGCAGCCTAAGTGAAAAGACTGCATTTGGATTTTAGCAAATGGGTGCATATGTTCCCCTCCATTTCTTCCATATTTATTACAGCGGTTACTGCTCTCTGTCGTTAGTGTTCCATTTCTTGTTGTTGTTCTGCGTTTG